TTTTTTTTGTTTCCTCGAATGAAAAGAGACATGAAAGGAAAGCGTTTTGCTGATGTTGCTAAGGTGAAGGAAAAAACGACGGAGGCGCTGTCAAGCATCTCAAAAGATGAATTTAGACAGTGTTTTGAAAAATGGAATAAAAGACTAGACAAGTGTATTAGTGTAAGTGGAGAGTACTTTGAAGGGGATTGAAGGTTTGTGCTTAAAATTTGAATAAATAAGTTTAAAAAAAAATAAGTTCGGTTTCTTTTGGGTACCCCCTCGTATAACCCATTTTGGAGAAGAAAAGGTTAGACAATCGGTAATGTGATTGCATAAAGTGCCAAGTGCCATTAAATGGATCCTCTGTATCTAACATGCACTCTAGCCTGGATAAAAGAAAAGGTGAAGCTGTCCCTGTAACAGGCCATGAAAGCCCACAGGGGTGTGAGAGGTCAAGGCTCCCATGTCTTCTAGATTTGGCTCATAGATGGCAGTAAAGCTACCTTATGTGCTGGCTACCCTTTACCCCCCAGGAAAATTCCTGGTAGTCATATCTGTTATAGGCTGAGTCGACCCCAGGGCCATACTGCAGCCGAAAGGATTCTGGATGCAATATATATATCCTGTGGTGGTAGAAGCAAAAACCTATTGATGCAATGGGAGGAAAAACAAATATTTTGTATCCAAACAACCTAAAAAAAGCAGGATTTGAGGTTCTTATGGCAGTGGTTATGAAGAGTATCATCTTCTGGGATATAACACCACTTGCCACCCACTTTCACACTGGTTTCTTGTTAGGCTTAATCTTCTACAAAGAAGATGGAGGCGGCATGTTCCTCCAAAATGTCAGTTCACTTTCAGCGGACTACACATCGTTACTTCCCAGAAGACAGCTACTATTCAACCTAAAGAAAAATAGATATCGATAGGAAGGAATTGATCCTTGGCATTTTTGGAATATAGGATCTCTAAATTATTGGTTCAGCCAGATATTTCCACTCACCTTTCCTTATCCAACACACTCACTCTTGAGATATTATATGCCAACTGGATATCCTGAATCTCCATCTCTGGGTATGCTTCACTGAAACAGGTAATATACATGAAATATTTGGTTCTTAAACAGGCAAAAATGTCAGCAGTGCAGATTTCTGAAATATATTAAGTAATGCCAATACATTTTAGAAACAGTGAAGGCACTAATTAACTCTCTGCTGATAAAATCCATCTTACAACACTTTTACAACTAAAGCTCACCAACGGACACAATCCGAATATTCACTGAACAGTAGCACCTTGTGGCAGCACCACAGTCCAAGGGATAGCACTCTCTACAGTCACTGCAGTGAGAACTTAAAATCTCATCAATATTTATTATCTACGTTTCTGTTTTTCAGTTTATTATTATTATCCCACATCCTTCTTAGTTTGCAGTGAGGATAGCTCAGGTGGTAAAGTGACAGGCTATGGACTGGACATTTGAAGAGTCAGAGTTCAATTCATGGTAGAGGTGAGAGAATCTCTCTTCTCCAAAGCAATCAGACTGGCTCTGGGGACCATCCAACCTCCTATCCAGTGGGTACCAGGGGCCCTTTCCCTTGACAGTAAAGTGGCCAGGGTGTGAAACTGACCATTCGCCTCTTCATGGCAGGGTCCTTAATTAATAAACCATGGAGACAACTTTAGCTTTACCTTACCTTCTTAGCCTCTCAAGTGATTCCCTACCAAAATTTAGCATGCACCTTTCTTTTCTGTGTTACATGTCCTGTCACTATAACCTCCACCATTTCACTACCTTAGGAGTACTGTTGTCTTGTGGCAACAGTGCTACAGTGCTTAGTGAGATAATACTAAGGCCATGCCATAGCTCAAGCGGTTAGTCACTGGCTTCCCACCACGGTGGCCCATGTTCGAGCCCGGGTCTGGTCAAGTGGGATTTGTGGTGGACAAGTGGCACTGGGGCAGATTTTCTCCGAGTACTTCGGTTTCCCCTGCCAATCTTCATTCCACAATCACCCTCACCTATCATCTTGGGCTGGTACAATAAGCCAGAAGTGGCCGCAGTAGAAGTCCCACCCCACTAGCAATAAAAAAAAAAAATAATACTGGCCAACCAGGTATAATACAAGCCACAAATTAAATGCACAGCCAGCACACAATTAAGTTTTGAACAGGCCTCTCTGATCTTATTGTCAACCTACATTTATGTTTGTAAGCTCCATCCCTCTAACTGATCTGAAAACATGCTATCAAGATTTCAAATGTATCATCTGGCTACTATCTAGTACTATTATTAGGGGACCAGGTATGCTGGTCCCTTAAACCTTACAAAGAAAAATATATCTAACATTTCTGAAAGGTTGGTAAGCTAACCCACCATAATATGACAGTCATCATCCAGAAGCGAAAACACAAAATATGACCAAGCATAAATAAAATTAATGCCACAAACTAAACAAACTGAACTTTGGAAGAACTATTAAGTATTTAAAGGAAAAATAAATAAGTTGTAGGGACTTATTTACCTCTTCACATTAACTGACTCACCGGAAATGTCGATGTAAATTGGCTGAATCACAGTCCTTACTCGGAATATGTGTAATCATCAAAGTTCTAGAGACACTCGTATCTCTTTCATCAAACTTGATGGTTACAGAGAACCTACGCATAATGATGATTCCCAGAGGCAAGTACAAGATTGCCAATGTCACGTGCGTCCAGAGGTATGAAGAGCTGGAAATAAAAATCAACTGATTTACATAGTTGCCATTACAAATTTCTCATCAGTAAATAGAAATTATTGCTAAATTCATGATTTATCATGTGTCATATTTTATACATATCTGACCAAGCTTGCCTAAAAGCATACAATTAGAATATATAGAACTATAATTTTGCCTGTGGTTTTGTATGGGTGTGAAACTTGGTCTCTGATATTTGGACCAAAGAGAGATAAAGTGACAGGAGCTGGAGAAAACTGCATAATGAGGAGCTTCATAATTTGTACGCTTCTCCAAATATAATTAGAATTATCAAATCAAGGAATATGAGATAGGCACGGCATGTAGCATGAATGGGGGAGAACAGGAATGCATATAGGATATTGGTGGGAGAGCCAGAAGGAAATAAACCACTAGGAAGAGCAAGATGTATGTAAAAAGTAAAGCTATCCCTGTAACAGGCCATGAAGGCCCATATGGTTGTGAGACGTTGAGGGTCCCACATTATCTAGACAATCAGCTCAAAGATTGTGGTAAGGTTATCAGCCTTAAGCGCCGGCTGCACTTTACTCACAGGAAAATTATTTCATTAATTCCTGGTACTCATTTCTGTCAGAGGCTGAGTCAACCCCAGGGCCATAGTGCGGCTGGAAGGATTAGGTCAACTGAAAAAAAATCCAATGACCTCATCAGGACTTGAACCTGCGACCTTCCGGCTTGTAGCATAGTGCCTCAACCAACTACACTACCATGTGCCTCCCAAGATGTATGTGGGTGGACAATATTAAAATGGATCTTGGAGAGACAGGATGGGGTGGTATGGACTGGATCAATCTGGCTTAGGATAGGGACCAATGAAGGGCTCTTGGGAACATAGTAATGAACTTTCACGTTCCATAAAATGCTGGGAATATCTTGAGTAGCTACACAACTGGCATCTTCTCAAGAAGGGGTCAGGTCCATGGAGTTAGTTACGTCCGGCCAATCTCGGGACACTCTACTGCTGAAAGAGTTCAATACAAATATAAACGTTTCATACAGGCTTCCCTATTAATACTTCCATGATTCCAAACAGTGATTAGTGATTTATACACTATCCTTGTTCTTTAACGATATAAGGAAACATATTTTGAGAACACACACACGGGAGTGTGTCGTCATACATAACAGCGCACATGTCTACAATGAGACGTATACTTACCTAGGATCAAGATTGCTAAGTGTTGTGTGACCGAATGTCCTTTCATCTCCTTCCAAATCACCTTGAAAGTTGATGGGTAACACAACAGTAAGGGAAATGATCATCATGATGAGCATATAGACAATGATGTGGCGCTGGAATGAGAGGTACTGCACTGCATCAGGTCCACACTTCATCAGGATGTTCTCATCCCTGCACAAAGCATTCTGTTACAATAAAAACTGGAGACTACTACCAAAGCATTTAAATCCATCAATTGTAGGTCCAATCAGTCTACTTGCTGTATGAATGGCATAAGAGAACAAATGTCCTATGAAATTCAAACCTCAAAACTGTGTACATGCGAGCAATCTTTCTGGCTCCTCATTTCTTAACGAGACAGGCAGAGCTTATGTAGTATCAAAGAAGAAACTATGTAACGATGCTTGTGGCAGTCACAGCCCATTTAAAGTACAATATCTGCATTTATGTACAAAGCAGAGAAAGTCACATAAAATCCAATGAAGTGAATAACTCTGCAAATTCTAGCAAGCCACAAAATGTATGCATAGCATAAACAGTACAGCACTCTCCCTCCCATTAGTTTAATTCTCATGAAAATCATAATACATAAATAAAAAATATTTTGGCAGTAAAATATACTTCATTTTCTCTCCTTCTAATTGTTTAGCTAGTTGTGCTCAAGTTGCATGGTATATGCGTCCACTGATACAAGGAAGAGTCAGTAAACAGGTTACAAATAGATATAAAACGTATAAAACATATTACATTTGAACCTGGAAAAAACATATACGAGGGGGTACCCAAATGAAACCGAACTTATTTTTTTTTTTTTATTTATTCAAATTTTAAGCACAAACCTTCAATCCCCTTCAAAGTACTCTCCACTTACACTAATACACCTGTCTAGT